TATATCTTTATATATTTATTCTTTTATTTATTTTTTATTTAATTTTATTAATTTTTTTTTGTTTTAATTTTACTTTACAAAATTATAATGACACTGATAAATGACATTGCCTTTGAATAAGTGAATGCAGTACTATGGCTGCAGACGTAAAATGGGTGATATTAAGTCTCTGACTCAGAGGCCTGAAATTAAAGAAATACGTTTACTAATATGAATTTGTTATTTTTATTTAAATTGTCTGTACCCAGTGACAGTTTTAGAACATAGATGAGAGTATTGCAATATAGTTAAATCTAAGTGTACAAACATACTATTTAGATTTCTCGTGATAATGAAAATATACATTAAACGAAATTATATGCGTAAGGAGAAATCATCCTTCCATACGCAATAATACTAACAAAATTTGTATTTTCCAAAGCAATGTATGAAAAAATATATATCTATTCAAAACATATCATACATTTGCTTCGTGAAAATGTATTTACTTTTTGTAAAAAAAAAATTGTTAACTTTAATAATACAGAGAGTAAGCCAATTTTACTTAATTATTTAAAATCTACTTATTACTTACGCAATTTAACTCAACACTAAAAATATTTGTTTTATATTATTTTTTTGATTAAACTTTTGTACATCATAATAATGATTATTTTTAATAGAAAATAAAAACAGATAATAATAATAATCTGTATGGTTGTTGAGCATAATAATATAAGTCATATCAGCTCGCTTCATTAGTGAAATATCTCACTTCTGTGTCCGAAAACATCACTGACCGGATGATAAGAAAAAACTAACTTACACTAGGATCGCAGTCAGCACAATGCCAAGAATAGCCTCTTCTTTTTGGAGATTTTTTCACTGGAGGGTCTAAGCACGTGAAGTGATAGCATTTTTTACATTCATCGCACCTACAAAGTACAAAATATTTTATTAATGATGAATATAAGTAGAAAAAATAAAGATTAGATATATACGTATAATACACACTGACTTATAATATTAAATATAATAATAATAATAATAATAATAATAATAAAATATATAGTGTAGACTTTTAGCATGATTACTAACATTACAAGATTTTGACTGGTACCAGGAGTATCACAGACATTACACTGCGTAAGAAGATCCGCATCTTTTCCCCTCTTCACATTTCCTGCTTGTAATCGGGTATTATTATTTACGTTAATATTACTAGTTGTATTCATTGCCACAACATTTGTAGAAGGTGGTGGAAGCGGTGGTGGTAAAAGTTTAAGCGTTGGCGGTGGCGGTGTAATTTCTGTACTCGTTGACGTAGCAACAAACATCTGTGGGCTAGATTTTGAAGCTACATCTCCATCCGGCCGTGGAATTGGTTTTATCTTTACAAAAAAAAAAAAAAAGAAAAGGAAAAAAAAATATATATGCAAATAGGAGTAATTAACTACTTATTAGAAAGTAAGTAGTTTTTCTAGAGATATAAATTTGCGTACCTTTATAGTAATTCGTCTATGAACTTCTGGTTGTGCCTGCAAATCTGGATTTTCAATATCAAGACTTTTTCTTTTGTGTTTTCGTTTTCTTTGTTTTACTCCGGTGATTGGATCAGGTGTATACCTCTTATGCTTTTCTCTAATAACAAATCACAATATGTTTCATATTGTACGAGATTTGTAAAATCATGATCATTTAAAGGATTATACCTTCGCCTTTTTTTTGCACTCCTTTGTGAAACAGATTCTGTACCATCTGCGGAGGCTACCATATATTCGGGAGAACCTTCTCTTGGTGCAATAGTAACATTATTAGTACATTGTTGATTATGTGTTGATTCAGCCAGTTGGATTTGTTCTGTTACCGAAGGTTGTGGGCACATAGGTTTTATGGTTAACTGTGAAATGAGTTTTAGTTAAGTTTAGTTTGAGGATTTTTAATAATAACGATCGAATTAACGAAGTTTAGATGTGTTGTGTTTGGAATATTAACAAAAAGAAAAATGTATGTCGAATTAAAGAAAAAAGACGCTGAACTTTAAAGATTAAGGTAATATGTAGAAAAATTATATTGTATGAACCTCATGTATCGTAATAAAAATTTATAATAAAATAAAATTTCCAGTTGCTGAAGAAGTCCCAATAAAGGGACGAAACGTCCAACTTAGTTAAATTAAGTTCTACTTCTTTTTATGTCCAAGTTCGCTATGAACCCTTATCATTAAGAATTATAATTTTGGACGAGAGAAAATACTGAATAAGTTTTAGTTAAAGTTTAGTAAAATAGCAAATTCGATATTAATGATTTGGTTTAAATCAATGTTTAAAATAAGCAATACCTTTGGCGTAGTAGGCGTATCAGGAACAGTAACGTTTGTTACATTGTTAAGTGGTGTAGATGCATTTTTGGATGTGGTTGGTGTAGTTGGTGTCATAGGTGCTTGAATTTCTTGAGGTGGTGTGGATGTTAAATTAGAATCATCCTTACAATGCCTTAATTTACGAGGAGCAGACGTATCTACACGTTCAACCTCCGATCCAGAAGATTCTTTATCGCATTCGGAACATTGCCTGTTTTAATAAAATCATGAATAACAAAACATTTCATTAAGGGAATCACATTTACTTTAGAATTATATACACATACCATCCCATAAGTTTGGTTTTTTTAGGCATACGAGACAGAGGAGGACTTAAACAAGACAAATGGTAATGAAGATGACATGTATCACATTTTGCAAGAAGATGTTGATTAGTAGATCTTCTACATATGCCACACTGGTGTCTCAAAGTCAATTCGCTTTTGTGATTTTGATCATGAGCTTGACTACTCAGTACTCTACCTTCACGAATACCTTCTGCTCCTTTTCCCACTGGTAGGGGAAAACCAACACCCATTTTTAATGCAGCTGCAGTTGGTACACCTAATCCCGTACCTTAAATAAAAGCGGATTAATTACCTTTTTCTTTATAACACTTATACTATTATAATTTATTATTAATTTAAAAATATATGTATGTATATAAGTGTCATTTACCAAGTGTAGGTGCGATTCTTGGTTTTGCTAAATCTGCTATTAAAGGCAATGGTTTAACGTAACCACTATTTCGTAGCATTTGATGATACATGTCGATTTGTTCTTTTAACGTTACGTTTACCCTAATTTGTTCTTCATTGTCCTTCATAACTTCATCGTATTTTCTATCTAATCTTTGTTGTTCATTTAACAACTCTGAATTAATGTCGAGAAGTTCCTGTAATCTTCTTTTCATCGAAGTGAGACGTAAATTGCGATCCAAGTAATATCCTATGAACTCTACGCTGAAGGCTGGAGGGATGTGCCATTTTTTTCTTACATCCACTAAAGCTACAAGTTGCGCCTCCTGTGTTTCTAACACTGTCGTATCAACGCCCATTAATTTAGCTTTTTTTGCTAATTGTCGACACGCAGATGCGGATGTAGTTAAAAGACGAGGCATTTTCTGAGTTGGTACTGAAAATAAAAAAAGAAATAATAATAATTACATATATATAATAATAATAATAATAATAATAATAATAATAATAATAATAATAATAATAATAATAATAATAAGTATTGTAATAATTTGAAATATTTCTAACATACCCCAAGGAGGTGGACGAGATGCTTTATGGGCTAGATATTTATGTCTGTGCTTTGCCAATTTCCTTTGAATTCTGCGCTGCTCCTCTGTATCTAAATGGTTTGGTTGTTTTAAAAGCTGCTGTCGATATTGAGCACGTAATTGCAATGCTAGCCAATTGCGTTTGCGTCTGCGAACAAGAAGTTTATCTGAATGTAATTTGCAATGTGCATAAAATGGATCAGCTTGATCCACCTCTTCACTATGTGCTTCAGATAATAAACCTTCTCGCTGAGCACTGAAACATATATTTGTTAAGACTACATGTTAATAATTCAAATATTAATATTCTATATTTAAAATATATCTTACCAAGTAACATGAAAATATGTATGGCACATTCCAGCATCGCATTCGATACAAACTCCAGTACGAGAAAAACGTGCATCTTCGCATAAAGAACATTGCTTTGCACCCCATTTGCTATATGCCATTTCAAAAAGTGTTACACTAGATAAGCGATCCACCTAGATAAAAAAAAATATATATATAAATTGTATATATTTAGGAATATTTTAATCACATTAAAAGTAACATACCTCGCCAAAAGCTACACCAGGTACATAAAGAGCACAGACTAAATGAACCCATTTTCCTACATCAGTTTCTTTAAAAATTCCACCTTTATTAGGGCAAAGTTCACACGATGGATCTTCAATGCCTGCACTGCAAGCTTCACAAAACCATGGAGCTGATTGGCACAATGAATCAGTACTGGAAAAACTCTCTACATCTGATACGCCATAGCATCCTGCGATATATTGATTGCCGATTAATAATTTCTTGTAATATATTAAATAGTTTTTATAAAATGTAGTCAAGATGTACCTTCATGAACACTAACTCCACATCCATCACATTCAACAATTTCATTAACATCATCGCTTCTGTCACCAAGACAACCACAACAAATAAGCATTTTGTTCAATTTCTCATCCATTGGTCCACTTTTCATCGCTTGCTGACGAGCTTGTTCTATAACATCTCCCACAGTGAGACCAGTGTTTTCTTTTGTATTTAACAACGGATCGCCTAAAGAATCATCTGAATCTTCCGATCCATCTTCTTCTTCTGATAAAATAAAATAAATATATATTTTATTGTTCTCATAGATAGAATTAAATTAGTTTTGATATTAACTAAGTAACCTTTTCCGACATCATTAGAATCAACTGAGTCATCATCTGATTCTTCGCAATGATCTTCGATTCTAAAATCACTATCATCAGAGCTTTCGCCTAAATCAAAATCTAGTAATGACTGTTGCGCAGATTCAACAGGCTTTACTCTTCTCTTTTTTGGATCCCTTTCGACTGTAAAATAATAACAATTTATTACTTTTCTTCATGTATATAAACGTATGAGAATTAATAATTAAATAAAAAGAAATAAAATACTTTAAAAAAGGAATTAAAATAATATAAAAGAAATAATGAATTTTGTATAAAGGAAAAATAAACAATTAATATCCGATAACATGCTCAATATAAATAAATAAAGTAAAGTAGTAGTAGGAAAGTTAAGAAAACGAAACTGAGGTTATGTTCATTGATTATTAAAAAATAATACATACAGGGACTAGTCATTGTATCTTAATTTCTATATGATAATTTTCTATAAAAAGTACAATTAATCCGCACTATATATCATTAATTATAATATTGATATAGTTTCTTTTTTTTTTCCTTTTTCTTCTTCTTATTAAAATTGAGTGTACGCGTAGGTATACATCCTTCTCGATGGGAGAACTCCCACCCTTCGTTTGTTATATGAAATGAGATCTCCCTCCAACATTAACAATACGTCTTATTAACGATATACATGTTGCATAAGTTTATTTTCTAATTAAGTAATTTTTACATATATATATATATAACAAGCTAATAAGTCAAACAAAATCAATCAAAACAACTCGATCTATTTCGTACATTTTTATTATATGAAAGTTCACCAACCAAACTTTTTAATTTTGTTTACGTGAGGCTTTATTATATATTTCCATAGAAAAGAATAAAAAAAAGAAAGAAAAAAAAGAAAGAAAAAAAAAGAAGGAAGAAAAAAAAAATGGAAAATAATAATGTATTTATTTCCAAATGCAAAATAATGTTCAACGTGAAATCTAAGCGGGCGAAATTAATTAATTGCTTTTCGTTCATTAAAGCATCCTTCTTATTAAATCACATGGAAAACACACAAGTGTTATAAATATAAGTACAATTATAAAATATTTCTTATTAATATTTATATTTTCGGCATAGAATTAATATTTCAACCGTATTATTTTTTAATCCTTTGATACAAACGTACAGATTATAAATTCTCATAGAAGAAGAATAAGAAGAAGAAGAAGAAGAAGAAGAAGAAGAAGAAGAAGAGGAAGAAGAAAAAAAACATAATTTTCTATTATAGATTCTATAATTTAACATTTGCGATTAGAAATATAAGAAACAAAAATAACAATAATATTTAATGGAATTAAATTTACGATTTACTGTACAAATTTCAGTGTACTTACTCATTGTTTTATATAAAAAGCCTACGTCGTCTTCTTGAGACATTTTTGGTCACGAGAACGATCTTTAGAGAGAATAATACTTTTATTTTGATTTTCGGTTTGCTCTTTTAATCACGACGAGTATTCGTTTATATTATGAGATTGTTTATATTCGATAAGTTCGAAAAATCGTCTCATATCAGTTCACTTGATTAAATTAATTGAAAAATTTAATCCATAGCAAGGAAGCTCCTGCATTGATGTCATCCTTTCTATGGTGTTATAACACAAATGCTATATACTTATGCTTCGGTTCATTGCCAAATCGCCATGTTGCCTTTCGAAAAATCCTTTAAGCGGGATATTCGAAAATACGAAGAAAACCTGCATTTTAGATCTAATTACTTTATATTTAATGTCCCTATTAATAACGAAATCTATATTCTTTTTATAAAATTTTAATAATTTTGTCCAATCTTTCAAATGTTAAATAACTTTTAACGAGAAAAAAGTATATAATTGAATTAACATACCCTTATTAACACGAATAAAGTATAAAAGTAAATTATTTTCTTTTTGTTTGTCCTGAATAATATTCTTAATTTTTTATTACAGGTGAAATAAAAAGCTTTAGCAAATTAAAACGTTTCTATTAACAAAGCTATAAATCTTTGAATAAAACGAACATCTTATAATTTTCTTTCTATTTTTTTTTTAAATAATCTATCATTTTTATTTCGTATGTTGTGTTTTTATTAATAAATGGAAATTTTAGCGACAATATGGCGGCCTATTGGTTACTTATATATATGTACAGATATATTGATACATACGTAAACGTTACAAATATTTTTCTTTAATTATTAAACATTTAAAATCATTTTTTCTAACATTATATTGTTCTAGGGATGTTAATGAATATTTTTAATATTCAAATGTTAAAAATTTATGTTGTTAAATGAGAAAAATAATGTTCTTTATGATTAATACTTATGGTAATCTATAGCACCTAACTTGCCATTTGAGAATGAAGCAATCCATAGATAGAATCGTAGTAGGCCATGAAACATACAGTAAGGAATATCCCTAGACATTTTTTCTTACTATTAGAAATACCATATGTATTAAGTAAATATTCGTTCCATGAATATGGTAGCCCTGATGGTAATAAATATCAACCACGCTTCTACTTTAGTTTAAAGCTTGATCAGAATATAACCTAAATTAAAGTATTTTTTTAATATAATTATTTCTCAGTAAATTTAACATCTTCCAATAATATTTATATCTATTTGTATAATCACAGTTATTTCTTTCAAAATGGTAAAAGAACAATTTAGAGAAACTGATGTCGCCCGAAAAATGTATGTATAATAATTTATAAAATTTTTTCCTCATTAAAATTTACAAATAATTATTATATGTTGATGTCTTTAATATATATTTATATTACTGCATTGTTAACATCAAAATGTAAAAGGTAATGATTTGTAATTCTTTGATTAATTTATTAGATCACATGTATCCTTCGGGGTGGATACCCCTTACAACATGGAAAGACAGGCTCACCTCCAGGTTGTTTCAAACAATGTGTACAATGCAACTGATCATAGTCCTGAAAAATTTGGTGTTCTTGATAATCGTATGGTATGTTAAATAAAAGATTATGTTTATAAGATATTGAAGTAATAGGTTATGTTTTTAAGTTGCTAATTTATTTTGTTGATAGGGTACGAGTTCTAATGCAACTAACTGTACAACTTGTGGAAAATCATTGAGCGAATGCATTGGTCATTTTGGATATATAGACTTGGTGTTACCAGTTTTTCATATTGGCTATTTTAAAGCCGTTATTAACATTCTCCAAAGTATTTGTAAGGTATTATGGATGACTTTTTTCTATAATATAATTTAACGGTATTTATATATGTCTTTTTTAATATGCACTTTTAATTCATAGAAATGTTCCCACGTAATGCTGTCCAAAGCAGATAAAATGAAATATCGGTTTAAAGTTGTTAATCCTAATTTGGGATATCTTGAGCGTAAAGCTTTGAGAAAACAGATTTTACTGAAAGCAAAAAAGACAACAATTTGCCAAAATTGCGGAGAACTCAATGGAACTGTAAAAAAAGCTGGGCTACTTAAAATAGTTCACGAAAAATTTAAAGCAAAGAAAAAATCTGATCCTATTGTTACAGATAAAGTAATCGAGTACAATCATGTAGTTGAAAATAATAAAGAAATAGATGGAATACTTCAAAGTGGAATGGGCGATATTTTAACTCCTACAGAAGTAAGATCTTACAATGTTTCAACGAAACTTACAAATATATAAACTTCATTGATTTAATTTCAGGTTCAAAAGATTTTGGTAAATATACCAAAAGACGATGTCCCTTTTTTATTGATGAATTATGAACGCGCTTCGCCGGAAGATTTGATTCTATCAAGAATACCTGTACCACCGATTTGCATTAGACCAAGCGTTGTATCTGATTTAAAAGCAGGCACTAACGAAGATCACCTTACTATGAAATTGTCTGAAATCATTTTCATTAATTCTTCTCTTCTAACACATAGTATACATGGTGCCAATTGGTCAACAATTAATGACGATTACGAATATTTACAATTACATTGTGCTCTTTATATTAATAGTGAAATGTCAGGAATACCATTGCAGATGCAAGTGAGTATTACAGTTAAAATTAAATCAATATTAGACACGTTAAGAATTGTTGCTATATATTATGTATATTACAGCCATTAAAGCCATGTAAAGGATTGGTTCAAAGATTAAAAGGAAAACAGGGACGTTTTCGTGGTAATTTATCTGGAAAACGTGTGGATTTTTCTAGTCGTACGGTGATATCACCGGATCCTAATTTAAAAATAGAACAAGTAAGTTTTATTTCACAGGCACAAAATTTAATTTTATAATCATATGAATATATTTTTGTAGGTAGGTGTACCTGTTCACATTGCAAAGATATTAACGTATCCAGAAAAAGTGAATCCATCAAATATAGAATTAATGCGAAAGTTAATTAAAAATGGGCCCGATGTACATCCTGGAGCAAATTTCGTACAACAAGGAAAGACTCAATTCAAAAAATATCTTCGCTATGGTAATCGTCAGAAAATAGCTCAAGATCTACAAGTAATAGCCTTATTTTTGCAATATAAAAATTATTTATAATTACTCCTATTTTACTAATCATTAAGTTACCGTTCATTTAATGTCATTTTTTTAGTTTGGAGATATCGTTGAGAGACATCTCAGAAATGACGATGTAGTTTTATTCAATCGGCAACCCTCATTACACAAACTAAGTATAATGGCGCATAAAGCTAAAGTATTAGAGCACAGAACATTCAGATTTAATGAGTGTGTCTGCACTCCTTATAATGCCGATTTCGATGGAGACGAAATGAATTTACATTTACCTCAAACAGAAGAAGCAAAAGCAGAAGCTTTGATACTAATGGGGGTAATATAATAAACAAATGTATTTTTTCATTTTCTGCTTGGAAAGTTAAATTCATTATTGAATATAATTGGCGTATTGATTTTATAAATATTATCAGTTTTACTGTATTTGTCTAATTAATTGAAGTTGAATAAATTACTAATTATAAATTATTGTTTTTAGAATAAATCTAATTTGGTCACACCTCGGAATGGAGAACTACTAATAGCAGCAACGCAAGACTTTATTACGGGTGGATATATTCTAACGAGTCCAAGTACTTTTTTAAATAAAGTACAAGCATATCGATTGGCAAGTTGTTTATTAGCAGATACAGATGTTAATATGCATATAGATTTTCCTAAACCTATAATTACAAAACCAATAGAATGCTGGACTGGTAAACAAATCTTTGATTTAATTTTGCGTCCCAATGAAATGTGTTCAGTAAAAGCAAATTTAAGGGGAAAATTTAAAAATCATACTAAGGACGAAGAACTATGTTTCAAGAGTGCATGTAAGGCTTATATATATATTTTATTTTCTATTATTAATAAAATATAATTCATTATAAATATAATAATATATATTATTGCAGATGGTGTTATTCGCAACTCACAGCTGTTAGCAGGTGCTCTAGATAAATCTGTATTAGGATCTGGTTCAAAACAAAATATTTTTTATACCCTCTATCGTGATTGGGGCGAAGATATTGCTACAACAGCAATGTGGAGATTAGGTAGATTAGCAAGTTGTTTTCTTATGAACAGAGGTTTCTCTATTGGCATTGGAGATGTTACTCCAAGTGATAGTCTTCTTAAATCAAAACAAAAACTTTTAGATAATGGGTAAGTTTAAATTTTTATTATATGAATATTCATAGAATAATTATTATTATTTTTTTTAGTTACTTTAAGTGTACAGAATATATTCAACGATTGCAAGAAGGACGTCTTCCTTGTCAACCTGGTTCTACAGAAGAAGAAACTTTAGAAGCAATGATATTGAAAGAGCTTTCTGGTATTCGTGATCTTGCTGGTAAAGCTTGCGTAGATGAACTTCGTCCAACTAATAGTCCATTAATTATGGCAATATCTGGCAGTAAGGGTAGCTTTATCAATATTTCACAAATGATAGGTATGTTTGGAAAAAATTCATTTTCAAATTTAAATTTGCATATATTATGTAAGTAATTGAATATTATTATATATTTAAAACTTTGTAGCTTGTGTTGGTCAACAAGCCATCAGTGGCCATAGAGTTCCAAATGGTTTCGAAGATCGAGCTTTACCTCATTTTGAAAGAGGGTCTAAAGTTCCAGAAGCCAAAGGTTTTGTCGAGAATTCGTTCTTCTCAGGTCTTACTCCTACTGAATTCTTTTTCCACACAATGGGTGGGAGAGAAGGTCTTGTAGATACAGCTGTAAAAACGGCAGAAACGGGATATATGCAAAGAAGATTAGTCAAGAGTTTAGAAGACTTGTGCCTTCAATATGATTTGACAGTACGAAATGCAGTAGGAGATATAGTGCAAGAAATTTATGGCGGTGATGCATTAGATCCAACATATATGGAAGGTAAATTAATATTTTTATTGATTTTTCTATATCGCGCGTTAATATTAACAAAACAAATCAAGAATCTTTTGTATCAATGAAATTTTGTAGGAAACGATTGTCCAGTTGATTACAAAAGGGTTCTTGATCACGTAAAAGCTAAATCCCCATACAAAGGGGAGGATGCATTAGATGGTCCTAGTGTGATTAAAGCTACGAATGAATTGTTAAAATCAGAAGAGTATGAGTGTCTAAGTGACGAATTTAAACAGGAATTAAGGTAAGGAATATTACGAGTATATTATACATAACAA